CAAACTCTTGGGCTTTTAAAAGATTCTCTAACCTCAGCCTCCCAAGTAGCTGGTACTATAGGCACCCACCATAACACCCAGATATTTTTTGTTGCAATTGTCATTGTTGTTTAGTTCCTCCAGGTTGGGTTTGAACCTGCCTATATGTGGCTGGTGTCATTAACTACTGTGCTACAGGAGCTGTCAGAAATTATATTTTAAAGTACCCAGTACCTCTAACTTTATACTAGCCCTTACCTTGGGAACTCGCATGGCTACCCTGATAAAGCTTCATCAACAGAGCACTGGGACTCCTCACCTTTCCCGGGGTTTTTCTTTCCATTTCTATTTTCTGGGTCTTGGCTTTTTCCTCCAATATGGTCTAGAACTATAGGAATTCCATCGATCTCTGTTCCCTGCTTGTCTTCCCAGGCTCTCTCTGCATCAGCTTGTGATTTGAATTCAATATATGCAACCCTGCAATTGTGGGGGTGGGGCCAGGGAGAGAAGAAAGAACAGTCAGTATTTAAAGCCATGGACTTTTTATTATTTTTATTTTTATTTATTTTTTTTGAGACAGAGCCTCAAGCTATCCCGCTGGGTAGAGTACTATGCATCACAGCTCACAGCAACCTCCAACTCTTGGGCTCAAGCAAGTCTCCTGCCTCAGCCTCCCTAGTAGCTGGGATTACAGGCGCTCGCCACAACGCCCGGCTGTTTTTTGGTTGCAGCTGTCATTGTTGTTTTGGCAGGCCTGGGCTGGATTCGAACCCGCCACCTTAGGTGTATGTGACTGGCACCTTAGCCTCTTGAGCCACAGGCACTGAGCCAAAGCCATGGACTTTTATTTTTAGAGCTACATACAGGATTCAAAACCCAAAAGGTAGAAAAGGATATAGGGAAGTCTTCCTTCTACTCCTATTCCAGGCCACCCAATTTCTAACCTTAGAGGCAACACATAAAAGCAAATATTCTTTTGTTCCTTTTCCACTCCCACTGCTTCACTTAACTAACCTTAAAAAAGAAAAAAAGAAAGGAAAAAAGAAAATGTATGCATACACATACACTATATATATTTTTTCTATATTCTCTATATTTAAAAAAATTATTGGGATAATAATTCACATATAAAATTCATCCATTTAAGTTTATAATGGCTTCTAATACATTTGTGGAATTGTACAACTA